TAGCCTTCTTACAGCCCAGACTTGAACCCTATCGAAAATGTATAGGCTGTATTAAAGGGAAAAGTGGAGAAAAAGGTTAAATATTTAGTGGCAAAAAAAAAATATTACCTGTAATGTATTCCTTAATACAATCCGGCAGGAATGGGACGATCTTGATGATGCTGTGTTACTTCGATGCATTGAGAGCATGCCAAACCAGGTTAAAGCATGTATCGATGCAAAAGGAGGACACACCAAATATTAATTAAATAATAAAAAAGTAGCTGTTAGTGATTATCTTGTAAATAAATAAAAAAAAAATTACAATAAAAATAAAGTTAGTATATACCATAAAAATTCATTTCTGCCATTCTTTTCACTGGGGACTGTAGGTACTATATTTTTTTCTATAGACAGTCAATTATTTCTTGTGAGCTGTCAGTCATTTCTTGTAGGCAGACAGTCACTTTTTGTGAGTAGTCAGTCATTTCTAGTAGATAGACAGTCACTTTTTTAGGCAGTCAGTCACTTTCGTGAGTACTGATTATTTCTTTTCATATGCTCTCTTAATTTACAAGGATAACGAAATATCTTAAAACAATATATACATGTCTTATTATCTAACTTTTTTAAGTTCTCCTTTTCTATAGTAAAGATATTATGCTGGGATTTGTGAACAGATAGAGGAATAGTAATAGTCTTTTTATCTTAAGTTATTCTAAATTCTTCTTTTACTAAGAGTTTCCATCCTGCCCAATATTGCCATTGTATACCAAGAATAAATAAGAACAATTCTTTTCCATTAGTATCTTTTTTTGTAGGAATGAATAACTGAAAATTTATCTAAGGTAATTAATCAGTCTATCTCATCATAAATAGTTACTGGAATATCATCAATTGTTTTAAAAGATTGTGATTTACTAGCAATGCTATTAAGCCTATGAACCTTCTTTCTATCTATTTTAAACCCCAAATTCTTTGCAATATTTTCTGAGATTATGGACGAATCTGATCCACTATTAATCATTGCATAGGGTATAGTAACTTCTTCCACCATATATGAGATAGTCGTAACATTATCCACATCTCTTATCTGAAGAAAATTTATCTCTAAAGATTTGGGCCAGTGTATAGGAGTTAGTTGTAAGATGCTTTGTATATTACTTTTTTTTCAGCTAAATGACATTGAGCATATATTTTAATAGCATAGTTTAAAGTATTAGAACTAACTAGTATTATATTATTCATGAGATTATCTGACTCTAGCTTCTCTTCTATCAGGACTTGAATAAGAAGCTTTTGCTCTGTATTTGTAGCTTGGATTAGCGGATATAAAATATCTATAATTTTATTTGTAATATGCCTCTATACTTTTCCTTTCATAACAGTATCATCTTTCATAGCCATATTTAGAATCTGATCTTTCAATTTAGGATATATTGTATTAATATATTGAGAGTCTTCCTTAAAAATTTCTTTAGAAATATATTGTACAACTGATGATAATATAGATTTTAAGGCTATTAGAAAAACATAATCTATAATCATAATTATAGGTGCTGAGGATTCTGTTTTTTTACGATATTTGGAAGTAGTGAATTTCTTCTTGTGAGTTTTTTTCATAGATACTGCACTTTGTACCACTTTTTTTTACAGCATAGCAGTTTTGCCCAAAGGTATTTAAAGCAGATTCATCATCATCAACATATTCATCACTCTTCTCAAATTCCTTCTCAACTATGTATTCTATTTTAGACTCTTCGAGATCTTCCTTCTCCTTAACTATGTATTCTATTTCAGACACTTCAGAGTCTTCAGAATCTTTCTCAGCATTTTGGTATACATAATTAACCTTTTTAGTTTTTTTAACTTCAGGGCAATTAATCTTTGTATGACCAGCCTTTTCACAAACTAAGTAATGACGAATAATTTTTTAAAAGACAATTCATTAAATTGTTACTTTTTGTACTACTTTTCTAATAGCTTTCTTTGTAACATTAGTATTTCTAACCTCTAACTCTGAGAAGTGGATTCTTCTAATATTAGATACTTTTCATTCTAACCTTTTACCAAGTTCATCATAGATATGTGTTCCTAAGGTTGAGATATCTATTTCTACACCTAAATAATCTAAATCCTTTACAAGACAAACTATAAATTCGTGTTCAGCTTATGATTCTTTTTGTATGGATGAATATGATAGAGTTTCTTTATTGAAGGAGAAAACACCTACATGCTCACTAGCTTCTAACCATTTATCATTAAGTTGGGTAAAAAAGGCATTAAGATTTGCTGGATTTCTGATTTTAATCTGTAATTTCAAATTTTCAGGTAAATAACTATAAAGAATAGGTAGAACATCTGCAAACAGTAAAGCATTTACACATGATCTAATCCATTTTTCATATATTTCTGAAGTATCAATAAAAAGAAATTTATCAAATATAAGCATTTTCATAGAAGCCTATGCTGAACCTAGTTTTACTGCATGATATACTTCTTAAAGCCATACTATAAATAATGCTGATGTATTAATGGCATTACCAGCACCATTATTAAATGGATTAGGAGTAAACCTTCCTATCATCTTTTCTGCTAATGCATTAGTTTTCATACCATTATTAAAGACTGCTACTTTTAATGAATTGCCATAATTAATTGCTTGCATAATCTTATTATAATAGTCATCTAGTAGCTCTTGACCAATATATTGTGGTATTTGAGCTAAAAGTAGGATCATTGAATTTAAAACATCTGGTAGGGTAGCTATATTTCCAAGTGGATTGTTTTGTAAATTCAAAATAATTTGCCTCAAATTTATTTCTCAAACTTTTCATTTTTGATATCAGTTAAATATTCAGACTCAATTGAATTCTGCTAAATTAGTCTTAGCTTTGTGTCTACGATTTATTAACTGAAGGCCTACCTTTTCTTATAATAATATATAGTTACACCTTTCTGTTCTTTGAGTCCTAAGTCACCATACCTGACGCTTATTTGCTTCATTATTTAGAGATTGTGTTAGCATTTAGTTATCATAATGTGATCTTACTCAGACTTCTTGCAATTGTTACCTTAGATTTCTGGCTTATCAAACACTTTGTTCTACTACCATATTTTGATCTTATCAAAACTAACAAATTGTATCAGTATAAGTAATAATATTAGCCAAACATGTACTAACTCTATCAAATTGTTCTCTTATATCATCTGAAAGAATAACTTCTGTATTATCCAAATGTTTCTGAATTCTTGCTAAAAAAGTTGAAGCCTCAAATTGCTTATCTAAAATAGCTTGTATTATATGTTCTATATCTAATATTTCTTTATTATTTGAAACTTTTTTTTTGATTTAGACCAGTTATTTCATAAATATGGGTCTTAAGTTGCTTAATCTTATCTTCTAGCCTTAAAATATTGATATCTTGAATAGTATTAACATTACCTTTATATCTTAAATCCTGCAATATTTTTTGCAGATGCTGTTTAAGAGATTTTATTTTAGTTTTAAGAGATGCTATCTCATCTTCATAAACTAAGATTGTAGAATCTTGCTGAGATATAGTTTTATAATATGCATCTAGCTCCTTGTTAAAAGTTTTAAGCTTTTTATTGAAAATATCATTTGAGACTATTTTTCATCTGCCAATTTTTTGCGTAACTCTTTATTAGTATCAAGAATTTTTATATAAGTTTCCTTCTCGATCATAAACCTTTGAAAGGATAGCGTTTTAAAGGAATTTGACCTAGTCATTTTTAAATATTATTACAGGGTGATTATAATATAGAGAATATAGCTCAGTAAATGATCAACATGTTTCACAAAATTGATCTACTAGAAGA